CTGCTAATGCAGACAGCTCTTCAGATAAATTTGGTTGTGAGAGGGGGCATGGAGATATGACAATGGTTGCACATAACATGGAATTAAAATACTAGTTGCCATTGAATCAATTCTAACTCATGGTGACCCTATGTGTGTCGGAGTAGAACTGTACTCAATAGTTTTTTCAATGGTAGATTTTGGGGGAAGTAGATTTTCAGGCCTTTCTTCCAAAGCACCTCTGGTTGGACTCGAACTTCCAACCTTTTGACTATCACCCAAGTGCATTAACTGTTTGCAATACTCAAGGACTCCAACATGGAGTTTAAGGAGGGACTTAATCAGATGCGAGAATTTGGGAGAAGTTGAAACTCTAAAGGGCGAGAATCAGAAGAGACTGTGAAGTTAGGAAAGAAGAGAAATCTAGGAATGAGCTTCACTGGAGTGGGGAGGGTAGGATTTGGAGAGAGCTGGGGGGATCCCCTTTGGTCAGGAGGAGAGAAAGGTCTCAAGTGGTAGCAGGAGGTGGATGGGGAGGATGGGCTAGATGCAAGGAATATAGGTTTGAGGGTGGAAAGTTAAGAAATGCTAGGCTCTCTTCCCTGGCCCCCACCTCCAGATATTCTCTCTACCCTTTTCCACCCTGATGTCTGTCCTGGGGTGCTTGCCCTATGGCTTCCAACATGGGGTCACCATAAGAAATTGGAGAACTGGAGAACAAGACTAATGTATTTATTCCTCCTGCTGCCTCCAACAATGTCTATTTCTACTGAAGGCCACAGCTCCTGTCTGGAAGCCCTCTCCATCCAGCTGTCCTCTCTACCTTCTGCCCCTCTTTGCCTCTTCAGCCCTAAAGGCCACAAGGGCTCCCCATTGTTACCAGCCCTGGGGTACTGCAATATCCCTTGTTGCTTTTGCAAATTTTGTTAACTGTTCCTCTCTCACACTGGCCACTTTGAAGGTGCCATCTCTTTCTGCCAGGACCCTGACTAATACAAAGGTGTTCCCTTCCTTTCTCTCTGAAGACGGAAGTATGATCCTTTGCTGAGCATAAAAGAGAAGAAGGATTTGGAGAGAAGAGTGACAACTTGAGACACCTCTGTGGGAATGGCATCAGACTTATCAAGAGCTGGCCTCAGCTGAGCCTGGAGACCCTGCCATCTAAGACACCACCAGCACACTTGCCTGGCATCCTAGGCACTCACAGAGAGGAGGGTTCAGATAGGTTGGGTTTTTGCCAGGCAGGTGCAACCAAGAACAATGGATAAGGGGCTGTCAGACTTTGTTCAAAATGATTGCCCAGGAAGAGAATAGGAAGTGAGAACCACAGGTATGACAAGGCCAAGGGGATAGAGGGGTCATGACAGGAGGGCCTGTGAGGTCAGAATACTGTGCAGAGGGGAAATGAACAAGTGAGAGGGAAATGCCTGTGGTCTGGTAGGAAAGGAAATCTGAATTTGTGATTTGAGCAAAGACGCAAGTCTGGGCTATGATAAGCCCTGAGAATGGGTGGTGATGAGGAGGAGAGCCAGGAATGAGAGGCTGGGGGTCCTAGGAAGGTTGTCTATATGGACCCCAAGGTCTTAGGGACAGGAAGAATAAGCTGGTTGCCGCAGTCTTTGGCAACTGAGGAGGCAAGACCGGGACATGCAGCAACACACAGCACACGTGCACAGCCGCCTGCCCACACACACCCACACAGTCACACGCACACACACGCCCCCAGCCCTCACAGACACTCCCAGACACCCTCACATGCATTCACCCTCACAGACACCCCAGACAGCAGATGGGGCGCTCGGGTAATTGGTTAAACCTGTTCCCAATGTCTGGCTCTGCACTGGCAGCGCCCGTCTGACAGGAAAGCTGGCTGGGCCTGCACCATCAGCCTGTGGGCCTCCCCCCCCTCCCCATCCATCTCAAGAAGAGGCCTGAGAGCCCCAGCCTGACTCCCCTGGGCTGAGCTCAGTCCACTTCACAAAGACTCCTTGAAGGCCCACGGGAAGCAATTGCTGCACTGGCAAGGAGTACGTGCAAACCTAGTGCAGAGAAGCTAAAAGCATGAACCAGGACGCTGTGAAGGCTCTGGGGTCTAATTCTAGAAAGTTCTAGGGACAAGAGGATGTGTAAAGATCATTTCCTGAAGGCAAGACGCATAGCTTAGGCCAAGAGAGTCAAGAACTACTCCCCTGCTCATAAGCCACTGTGACTTGGAGTTCTCTCAGGTGCTCTTAAATACCTCATCCCATGGTTCTACAGGCCTCCGTGGGAGACCAGCTCAGTTGAGAGAAAATGTCTGACTCAGGGTCCCTCAATGAAGGCCTGACCGAGCAGCTCCCTGCACACCAAGGACACCAGAAGGCCAATGTCCATATTCATCCTTAGCCTCCACAGGGCCTTGATCTCCAAGTGGGGGAGGGAGGAAGCAGTCTGGGGAGGGAAGGGAGCGGCATTCCTTGTCTTCTTCTCCCCTTCTCGGCTGCATCTGTGTCTCTTTGAGAGAGACTTTGGTTTGTTCCCTGGATAGGACCCAAAAACTCCCAAATTAGCAAACCTGGCAAGCCCGCAGCTCAGAAAATAGTTCATCCTGATTCCATGTTTTTCAGGCTCACAGAAGCCTTTATTAATGAAGTCACAACACCAATATTTACCATCTGCAGGGAGAGGCACAACATGGGGGATGGATGGGAGTGCTGTGGGGACTCCCCAACCCACCCCCTCACAGGCCTGGCCTAGGGAAAGTGGCAGGTTTGCTTGGGTCCTTTCCCGCCTTTTATTTGGATGACAGGGGTGCTCTGCTGTGATCTGCTTGTCTCCCCTCTCCCTACCAAGTGAGCTAGAATTGTGAGGGACAGCTCACCATTCCTCTGCCCCCTTCCCCCGACTGGGGCCAAAAGAAGTGCGTCTTCTTCTTACCTTCACTCCATCTGTGCTTACATGCTCCCAAGAGGTTATTCCACCTGTTTGGCAGTGAGAATCTACCATGCGGTTGAACTTAGGCGTATCCAAGTTCAGGTTTTCAAGATGTAGATGGGCAGGTTTTCCTGGTTGATGAAGGGGGTGGGCATTGGGATGAATCCAAGCCCTGTGGTTTCTAGTATTGACTGGGCACAAGTGAGGTGGGCAGAGAGTGGGAAGAGACACTGATTGTCCCAGCAGGACCTGAGTCTGTGTTCCCAGCAAAAGAATCTCCTGTGCTTCAATCCCTATGTGTGCCCAGGCAACAGGATTGGGCCTTTGATATCTTTTCAATGAATTCAACACTTATCAAGCACCCATGGTGTGCTCACCAGCAGTCCAGGCAGAATGAACAGCACATACAAAGGCACATCACAGGGAAGCCCATGGCTCAGTCAGGGACAGGGCAGACATGGGTGAGTCTGATGTGGAGGGCATCAGGAATGAGGTAGGAGAGTCTAAGGGTGCACTAGAAGTGGGGACAATGTGATGGAGTTAGAAAAGGAATGACCTGGTCCTATTTGGGCTCAAGGAAGAGAAGTCTAGCCTCAGCATGGAAGTTCTCCTTGGAAGTGGGTCTCATCTTCAACTTCCACAGAAACCTAACTACATCCACTGCTCCCCCAGGAAGCAGACCTGCACTGAAGCAGAGAAAGCTTAGGTTGCACACTGCACCAGCACACTGCACTAAAGCGGTATGGTCAGGAAGCTAGTCTAGATTCAAGATGCTAGATGCCCATGGAAGGAGAGGCAGAATGAGGAGTCTAAAGTTTCTTCTAGCTTGGGAAGCAGTATACATGGCTAATGCCATTTGCCAAGATGGACAATCCTGGCAAAGACCAGGTGGGGAGACGAATCCAGCTGTGCACAGGTTGGATTTGAGGTGCCTGAGGGACATGAAGGTCAGCAGGTGGCTGACGCAGTGAATCTGGCTCAGCAGAGGTTGGCTGGAGATGAGTATTTGGAACCCAAGGAAAAGTCTTGGAAGTGGATGCAAACTTCACAAGTGGAAGTCACAATTAGGAGGCAGGACAACCAACCATGGGGTAGACAGAGGCAGAAGAGGCAGGGATGACTGGGGAGAACAAAGAGGGATGGAGGAGCAGGTGTCATAAGTACCAACATGAAGGCAGAAGGATGGGAGTCAAGGAAATGGTCACAGTGCCAGTTCTGCAGACCAGGGAGAAAGTGGACCCAAAAGAGAGGTGGTTGGGTTTGGCCACAGGGGGTGATGATGGCCATGGTTGGTGATTGTCACCAGCAACAGCAGAGTGTTAGGCAGAGGCCAAGGAGCAGAGATGGGGAGCATAGGGGAGTTGAAGAAGTGGAGATAGGTCTGGATGTCTTTAAGGGAAGGCTAATAGGAATACAGTTTTTGCTTATTCAAGAGGAAGGAAACTTTAATAAGGCCAAATAGGAAAGACAAGCAGACAAACTGAAGGGCAGCAGGTGAGTTAAAGAGTTCAGTGGGCCCTACCTTCTAGCTCTTTCCTGGGTGGGGGAGGCCTGAGTCCCTGGGGACATGCTGCATTCTCAGGCTCCAGCTGTCTCTGAAGCTTTAGTCTGCCCCCAGCGGGCTCTCCAGGGACATGTGAGAACCCTGGGGAGGCCAGGACTTGGTGCTGGGACTGTCAGCCTCTGTGAATGCCATCCCCTCTGCCCAATCCCCAGAATCTCCCTTGTCCTCTGGTTCTTCCTACTTGGAGAAGCTACCAGAAGGTGGGAGACAAAGTCTCCACTTACCTAAGCATGGAGAAGCGCCCTCTCTCTCTCCTGTCTGACCCACCTGGGTCATTAATATTGGAAAGACCCAAACCTAGTCTTTCTCAAGACACAAGGAGGTCCTTCCCTATGTCTAGCCTCATTTTTTCTGCTGTGGAGTTTGGGCTATAGACCAGCGTTGACCACCAGTAAAAGAAAGGACTTAATGAATTGAATCTCCAGTGTCCAGCCCAGTATCCCAAGCCCTGAGCCAGCTGGCTCGGCCACCCCCCTACTGGCCCATGAGTCCACCACCCCAGGCTCCCAGGCTCTGAGGTTGGAGCTGGATGCCTACATTGTGAAGAGAGACTTTATTCCCATAGGGAAGGGAGACACAAGGGGATCACTAAGAACTACAGTGAATGCCTGGAAAATAAATTAAAACAGAAATGCATCAAAACAAAAAGGAGGTAAGATAAAGGAAATGGATAACAGCTGGGAGGCTGTGGTGGTGGGCAGCAGGCCCAGGCAGGCATGGTCTCTGAGGAGATAGCCGAGTGGCCCCAGCCCTCGTCCTCAGCCAGCCCATGTCTTGCCCCTCTGTCAGTGATGGCCCCAGGCTCCAAGCCCTGTGGGGCTGTGATTCAAGGCCTCCCCATAGCCTGGCTGGAGAATGGCCAGAGTCCAGCTGGGCCCTCAGGGGCTTGGCCAGCAGCGAGCAGCACTCTGGATTCGTGGGTTCATGGCTGCCTGCCCCTAGTCATTGGAGGTGACATCGATGTCCTCCCCGTTGGCCTGCTTTGTGGCAATGCGCCACCGGTTGATGTGGTGGGAGCCCTTCTTCTTCTGCTCAGACTCGGGCCCCTCTTCCTCCAGCTTCTGCCGCTTGTACTTTGTCCTCCGGTTCTGGAACCACACCTTCACCTGGGCCAGGGAAAGGGCACAGGTGAGAAACACCCAGGAGGCCCCCAGAGCAGACACTGGGGCCTCAGCACTCAGGCAGAGCTGGGAGCTAGATGGGGAAACAGACCACACAGGGTCAGGCCTCTCTTCTGGCCAGCTGCCACCTGACAAGTCTGGAGGGCTGCTCTTCCAGGTGCAAATGAGTTGGGGCCAGAGAGAAGGGTGGTTCTGTCCCTCTCAAGTAAGGGAGGGAGTCCTGGAGTGAGGGAGGCTCCCTCAGACCAGCATCCTGCTTCCTGAGGCTGGAGCAAAGCACAAGGAGGAGATAAGGCTTTGGAACTAGCAGACATGGGTCCTCACTGTTTTCTGGGGTGGAGATAATAATTACTTCTTCACAGTGTTGATGTGAACAGTAAATGAAGGAACATATGAAAAGCTATTGGCATGGGTCCTGGTGGGTTCTCTGAAGGTCCCATGGTCCCTGTACCCTGGACCACCCTGTATGTCTACAGGGTGTGGGTATCAGCCACCAACCAACCACACAGAGGCACCAGGGACATGGTTAAATGAATAGGAGTTGGTGTCCACACCAAGAGCAGTGCCCAGAACAGCCAGACCACTCGTAGGAGCACAGACCCCACCATGAAGTCTTTAACCTCCCATGTTACTCTAGTCATCTGCTTCACCAAGGGGCCTTTACTGAGAAACCTCCCTTGGGATTTCCTCTCCCCCACATCAGAAGTAGAGTTGGGCAGTGATGAGCCTCAAAACCTCCTGGGTGTCAGCTCCTCAGGGCGGTATGAAATCCACCAAGGAGACTTCACCCTCCTTGGACAAAAAAGGACAAAGAGGGGGCAGATCTGAGCCTCCTCCATTCCAGCCAAGTGCTCTGCCCTCCAGAACAGCTCTGGACCTCCTGCCTCCACAGCCCTTGCCTCTGTGGCCCATCTAGATGTAGGAGAAGTACCAACAACAGAATCTAGATCACCTTTAAGCCCAGTGAGGTAGGGTCCTTCCCTGCAATGTCAGGCAGTGATGGGGGAAGGTAAAATAGAGATGGGATAACCATCCTCCATGGATTGGGGAGAAGACATGGAGGAAAAAAGAAGTGAGGTAGATCTATTCATGTCCTCCATGAAATCTCCCCAGACTTAATCCCATCTTGAATCATTTCTCTCTTCTCCCTCCTCTTCCAGCATTTGTTCATTGTCTGGGATACAGCCCTTACCATTTCTTGTACATAATCTGAGAGGGTGGTCCTGACTCCCTAACTAGTCTCAGTGCTTGCTGACTGTGGAGAAAGCTTCATCTCTCTGCTCCACATGACTACCCAGTTCTTTACTTGGTCTTGCACAGCCAGGCAAGACTATGATCCTGAGTTGGGAAGAGGGGCTTGAGTGCTGACCTCCTGGGTCAATCCCTTCTCTCTGGGCCCAAGTCCATCATCCATAGGAGAGATACTATTGGGGGCCCTTGCAACTCTAGGGCATCACCTCTGTTCTTGCTCCAGGGGGTCCCTGTGGGAGGTGATATGGTAAGGACAGGTACTAGGTGTGGATGGTGTCCTGGAAATGAAAAAGCAAGTAGGTTCTGCCAAGTGTAATGGTGACTGTTCATGTGGTAAGTGGTCAGTATGGAATGATAGTGAGGATCACAGGTTTGGCAGCAACAGTGACTGCTAAGGGGAGGTCCTTGAATGCCAGACAGGGCTGAGAGCAGTGTTCCTCAGAAAGACTACCCTGCCCAGTCCCCACTTCCTAAGAAGGGTGAAAATCACAGACTTCAGAACCACAAAGCCAGACAGCGGCAGCCTGACCTCTAGGCCCAGGGAACAGCTTCATGCCTAGGACACTCTACCTTCATATATCTCCTTCCCAGACACTCCTCACTGTCCCCTCCATGAAGCCCACCCAACATAGGGCTTCCCCTCTCCAAGGCTGCTACTGCAGTGCCTGCCTACCCCTGGTCCCAGAGCACTAGGATGGGACTGGGACAGCCAGTGCTTACTTAGTGCTACACAAAGTAGCCAGCCAGGGATAGAGAGGCTCAGCCCAGGAAGAGGGGGTGCCTGGCTCTGATGGACTGTGTAAGGGGAAGAAACATCTTCCCTCATTTCCAGGGCAGGGTTTAAACCTGCCAGCAGCCTCACCTCAGGTAGACAGAGGAGGATGACAGATACTCCAGGCCCAGGGCTTCCAGATCCTATGCCCACCTTTCCTTGATACCAGGTTGGCTGGGCCCTGGGTGGTTCTTGGTACAACCACTTGGCCACCAGCCTGGCCCCTGCCCCCTCCCCCCTGCCTTGGAACCCACTGTGGCTGTGCCAGCCAGTAGGTGGGTGAGCTTACCATGCCTCCTGGGCAAGGCATGTGCATGACTCAGGGCTGGATTCAGGGCTGGGGCATCATTCCTGGAAGCTCGAGTGGGCTGGCTCTGGGCTAGGCTTGGCCAGCCTGGTGATGGGGGTGATCCAGGGGAGCCCTGCACAGCACCAGGGACAGAGGGCCTGTTTTTGATCCTTCTCACCCCCAACACACACACACCCACACGCACTGAAGTCTACTTCCAAAATCTGACAATCACATTTGCCTCTTATGGGACGGATCCCATCACGCTACCCTTTTCCAGCAACATTGGCCAAAAAGGAAAGCTTCAATGGTAGAACTTCAGGCATAGGCTATGTGGTCAGACCCAGACCAGGGGAGCTTCCTGGCATACCCAAATGAAAGGTGATTCTGAATACTTTCTCCAAGAAAACTCCTGGGGTCAAGGAGGCAGCTGTCTAGAAACAGAGTGTACAATCCCTGTGGACATAAACTCTCTCTCTAGACAGCCTGGCTATCTTCCGGAGAACAGCCTTGGGCCTGAGTACCCAGATGCTGTTTACAAAGACTATATAATAACAGAGGGATGCTTATGAATTAATAACATTAGCAGAAAAGGCAGGAAGCACAGTGTTGGCACAGTGTGATCACAACCAAGGAAAAACAAAATCTATGCATGGGGAAAAAAAGACTAGAAGGAAATGTACCAAAAGTATGGGTGACTTTTCTTTCTTTTTTCTACTTTTCTGAATTTCCTTTAATGCATAGCTTATAACAAGTAATAGTTATTTTTTACTTGAAAAGAGAAAAGGAACTGGTGCATGAGTGGTGTGGCCCCAACTCTGCAGGCGCCAGCCAAAGGAGACTATGGTTATTCTGCCCATCCCCTGCTACTCTCCCAAGGGCATAGTCCAGTTGTTGACTGAAGAACCCCCCTCACCCACCCTCTGGCTTTGAGAAGAGGGTCCTTGTGGTCTTCCAAGTCCTCATTTCACTGAATTTCTATGATAAGCCAGATCCTTCTAAGACTCTGTACCTTTGCTTGGATTACCCAACCAGGAAAACTCTTCCTTAGACTTCATAACTCTGTTCAGATGTTCCCACAGCCTGATCTGGAAAATAACCAAAATAACCACTCCTTCTGGTTGCCTCTGGGCAAGAGTTTGGGGGTGGCTTCTTTCCCAACAGAGTAGCCAAGGTCAGGGCTGGGCAGGAGGGGAAGCTGGTAACCAACTGATCAGCCTGGAGCAACCAAATGCCTCCACGCAAACACACACATAGACAGAAGCATGCAAACATGCAAGGGTCATTACCAGTAGTTATCTGAAACTGCACTCCAGATCATGTGGCTGCCTACTAGCATCAATGTGTGTACATATGACCCAATATGTGCCCCATATTGTGGACACACATACATCATACACACTCCCCACGCTGAAGGCTCTGATCTGACTCGGGCCTGGGTCTGCCCACCCAGCCACCAGGGCTGAGGCTTGGATGGGCATTTTCCTGGTCAGATTCCAGAACTGCACCGAAGCAGGAACAAAAAGAACAAATAATTAGCACCGGAAGGGAGAACTAGCTCTGGCCCAGGGCCCCTCCCTCCACCTCCTAGATTTACCCACTGGCCATCCCAGCACAAATCCCCCACTCTCCACTAAACCAACAGTCCCACCCCAACGAAGTAGTTCAAGTTGCCCACTTCCTTACACCCTACTGAAGCTTTGGACATATAAAGGCCTCTGAGCTCTGGGCTAAAACAAATTGATCTGCTCAACCCTCCCAGAACTTTTATCCACAAACTTCTGTTTGCATCAGCTAGATCAACAACCAGATGTGAAAGTACAAGAGAAAGATGGAGGGAGAGGGATAGGGAGGGAGTGGTGACAGCAGAGTGCAAGGGGGGCATGCCTGATAAACTTAACAGATAGATATGTGGGGAATAAAGAGAAATTTGCTCATTCATTCAATACATGTTTATTGAGCATTACTTGCCGGCACTAAGCTGGGCCCTTGGGTACAACAAGAAACAGACAGACTCAGCCTCTGCTTCCCATAGTTAAGACAACCAGGCCCACTGTTCATCCGAATCACCGAGAGAGCTATTCTAAAAACATTTTTCCTGGGTCCCATCCTGGACCTCCTAACAGAATCCCCTGGAGGAGGCCCAGGAATCTGTATGTTAAGATCTCCATGGGAACTGGTCTACAGATTTGGGAGGCTGGTCCTGTGGGCAAGGCTGATAATTAAAACTAGTAATAACAGAAAACACTGTGCATGTTATGATAGATGAGAGGTATACTGTGAACTCAGAACAGGGAAGAAAGACTATACAGCAACACAGAAAAGTAGATTACAGATGAGCCACAGAAAATCAGGGTTGTAAAGAACCGTGGAGTTCGTTTCATTCAATATCACAGATACAGCAACCAAGGCCCAGAGAGAAGACAAAGCCAGAACGAATGAATGATAGATTCATTAACAGGCAGTTAATGTTAGTTTATAATTAGTTTCATAATTCTCTCAATTATAAAACAGATCTATAAAGATGGAAGCCTGAGATGAATAGTAGATGTACAGAAGATAAAACGAAATAGATAGTAAAGACAGATCAGAAGGGCAGTATTTGCACAGGGAGATAGCTCAGAGGGCAGGAATGCATAGGAAAGGACACAAGAAAAAGGTAACCACGGGGAAGAAGTGGGAAGACAGCTGTTGCATCGTGGGGATTGCAGTCAATGTCATGAAACAAAATGTGTATGAACTATTGTATGGAAGATGGATTCACTCTATAAACTTTCACACAAATCACAACAATAAAAATAAAACAATAAAGAGAATCAACTGATGGGTAAACAGACGTTGTTAATAAGAAGAACGTATAATTAATAGAAAATATAAATGAATCAGCTTTAGGGAGGTGGTTTAACGAGAGCAGACAGAAGTAGATGGTTAGAAACAAAACAGCTATCTGTGAAGGACAGATTAGAGAGCTCTGAGAGACAAATATAAATATTAATAGTAGAAATATATGGCAGGGGGTTGAAGGAAGTGACTGATGCTTGACAAATAGCTGATGGCTGGAAATGACAGGTAAGCTTGCCTGGTAAATACTCAGAGATGGATAGATAATTAGTTGATTATATAGCCCAGGTCCAGATAATAGATTACAAGGTGAATAGAAAGACAGCTTTGATGATGGTGATGGTGTGGCAGAAAGAACACTGGAAGATAAGGAAGCCCAAGTTTGGACCTTGTTAAGACACTAACTTATCATATTACTTTAAATAAGGGGAAGCAAAGGGCTGGAGATGGGAATTAATATTCTTTGAGCTCATATTAAACCAAAAAACAAAAAAACTCATGGCCATCGAGTCAATTCTGACTCATAGTGACTCCATTGGGTTTCTGAGGCTGTAAATCTCTGTTGTAGTTGTTATGTGCCATCGTTGAGTTGTCTCCAACTCATAGCGACCCCCTCCTTGGGTTTCCAAGGTGGTATCTCTACAGAAGTAGATTGCCCAATCTTCCTTCCCAGGAGTGGCTGGTGGGTTTGAACCGCCAAACTTTTGGTCAGCAGTCAAGTGCCTTAGGCACTATGCCACCAGAGCTCCTTACAGAAGTAGATTGCCCCATCTTCCTTCAGTGGACCAGGTGTTGGGTCTGAACCAATGACCTTCTGGTTAGCAGCCAAATGCCTTATTCACTACACCACCAGAGATCCTTATATTAAACCAGTTGCTGTCAATTCCAACTTGTGGCAACCCTGTGTGGGTCAGAATAGAACTATGCTCCATAGGGTTTTCAATGACTAATTTTTTGGAAGTAGGTCACCAGGCCTTTCTTCTAAAGGGGACTTTGGGTAGATTTGAACCTCCAACTTTTTGGTTTTCAGCTGAGCACATTAACCGTTTGCATTACCCAGGGACTCCTGAGCTCATATTAGGAGCCTTTAAACCTCAAACAACCCATTTTCTAGATGAGGAAACTGAAGCTCAGAGAGGTTGAGTAACTCTCCCAGAGTCACAGTTAGCAGGGGAGTTGGCATTGGAAATCACTTTTGCCTGATTGGGAAGTTCTGCCCAGCTGTCTTCCCATCCTACAGCTTATCACCTGGAAACACAATTCCCCCACCCCATAATGAGGTTTCTAAGGATCAAACCTCCCATAGTTCTGTATTTTTTTATTGTTGTTCCTATGCAAAAAGCAGCCCATTTATAGATGGACTAAGATAGACCATGATTTTGATAACCAGTTAAGCTGAACACAGTAAATTACTCTGTTTTTTAAAATATATGTTTGAAACGTCTTATAATAAAAGTGAAACAGTCCATTTACTGACTGGCATTAACAGGAGCAAATATTGACAGGCAACTAGATTCCGTTTGGAAGGAGGTTAATTAAAAATGCTCTCACTGAACTAAAAAGCAGAAAGTTTAAAAACAATGACATAATTTCAAGTGTTATCTGTGGGTGGTGGGATTATAAGCAGTTTTTGTTTTCTTACACTTCTGCAATTAAAATGTAATAAATATTACTTTTTAAATGAAGTTAATTATAAACGCCATTCTTAAACTGACACCTTGTTTTAAACAACAACCTTAAAACACGTTGCTGAGAGAGGAAAAGGGGTGTTATTTATTAATTTATTTTTAAAAACAGCTTTCCTTAAAATATTTTTAAAATTAAGTCCATTAGTATGAAAGCTTTTTCTCTCCAGTTAGAACAACCCAGCTAGCAAATCTGAAAACACAGGGGCCCTGCAGTGAAGCCAGGAGAGATTCCTTGATTAGTGAGGCATCAGACAGATAGGATGACAATAGATGCCTAAATACAATGAAAGGACCGGAGAAAGTTGGGCACTCCATGAGGGTCCAGGCTCCCCAACTAGGCCCCTTTCATACCCTGGCCTCACCACCCCCTACTTAAGGGACCAGTGAGCTGCTGGACGGAGAGGCCCCAGGCTGCCATCCTGGCTGGCGCCTTCTCACCTCCTGGACTGGAGTGGGGGTGGGGGGCAGTAGCAGCGGAGAAGAGGCGGAAAGGGGAACTGAAAATAAAATGCCAGTGGGGCGGGAGCTGCTTAGCCTCACACCAGCCTCTCTCACTCCAAAGTCTGGTAGCTGACCAACCGACTGACCAAAGAGCAGAAGGTAAGGTCTACCAAGGCCTATCCAGACACTGAAATCTTCCTCCCGGGAAGAAGGCAGGAAAGGGTGTTTCAGTCCCTACATCCCATTGAAGGGAGGCTGAGCAAGAGCTTAGGTGGTGGTTCTGGGCCACATTTATAATAGCAAAAGTTTTTTCTTAGAATGGACCCAAATCTGCTTCCCTATAACTTACTTCCAGTTCTCTTATTTAAACACGTTAATTGTTTCTCAGTTACAAAAATACTACATGTTAACTGTAATTTACCTAGTTCCATCCTCTCCAACACCTTAGGCGTCTATTCCCTCCTCCAATGGGCAGCGCTTTAAGTGACTGAGAGCAGCCCCTGTGTACCTTGAGTCTATTTTCCCCCATCCCAGGTCTCTCTGATGATCCAGTATGCACACCCACCATGGCTTGCAAACCCTTGCCAGTCGGCCTGTGCTGGCAACAGTGCTACCTCAACTCCAAGCAGAGGCTGGTCCTTCCCTGACTGAGGCCCCTTGGCTTCTCGCGTTTATTATAACCTAAGGACACTTGGGCCTCCTCCCTATATCGGTGCTGATGGGAGTCACTGGGGCATGGGGGCTCCCAGCCTCTGATAATCTGGCATCTTCTTACAGGTCTTAGGCACCAGACTGATGATAGATTTGCATTTACTCTACCTCTTGCTGGGTCATTACTGCTGCATGAAAGTCCTGAGGCCTGAGCAAGGCTAAACACAGTCTGAGGGAAGGAGCTCTAAAGACTAGGCCTTGCGGGAGCACCAGGCGGTGGGGTGGCCTCTGGAAATGAGCGGGAGAGAACTGGCGGGAGCGGAGACTTTAAGAGGGTTATTACCTGAGTCTCGGAGAGGCTGAGGCTTCCAGCCAGCTGCTTGCGCTCGGCACCCACCACGTAGTGGTTCTTCTCGAAGGCGCGCTCCAGTCGCAGCAGCTGCGAGGGCGAGAAGGCTGTGCGGATCCGCTTGGGTTTGCGCGCGAAGGGGCCGTGCAGAAGCAGCCCGTCCTGAGGCACGTCGCTCGCTGCGGCCACGCCGCCGAAGGCAACACACGCAGGTACAGAGAGAAGGGGTGCTGTGAGCCACGCTGGCCCTCTCGCCTGGCTCCCACGCGCCCTTGAGGCTCTGCTCCCCTCTCCAATCCTTCACGCCTCCACTTCTTCCCTCTCCCTTTTGCCGCCCTTTCTCTAAGCCCGGTCCTCTTCCCAGTTCTTCCCCACAGTCTGAGAGCGGTCCGCCCGCGTTCGCACGAATCGCAGCGCACAGAGCTGCCAACCAAAAGACGCGCCCCGGCTTAGGGCTTAGTGAGGCGCTGACCGACTCACGATGCGGAAAAAGTCCCTCGGCTCTCTTTTCCTATCCTTTCCTAACGACACTGCCCTTGTCCCTGGGTCTCAGAATGATTTAATTAAAATTCAAAACCAAGCCCGTTGCCATTGAGTCGATTCCGACTTATAATGACTCTAACACAGAGTAGACCTGCCCCCGTAGGTTTTCCAAGGCTGTAGCTTCAGGAAAGCAGACTACTACATCTTTCTCCCACTAAGTGGCTGGTTTGTTGGAACAACTAACCTTTCAGTTAGGAGTCGAGCTCTTTAACCACTGCACCACTAGGGCTCCTTTGCTTTTAATTGACCAGTCCCTATACCTTTCCCTCAGAGTGGGCCAAGGGTGGAGGAAAGACTGTTTAATCAGGAAGGTAATAAGGAGAATATCAAGACATCAAAGCACTCCCATTTCAAACAGATTGAGTAACTTGAAGATACCCAAGAAGCTTTCTTTTCACCCCTGCTTAAATCAACCTTGCAGCTAAATGTTCAGGCTACTAAGTCATTGAAAACTCCTGCCAGCAGCCATAGGCTCTCCCTTGTAAGTGGAAAAATGAGCCAGGAGCTAGATCAATGTTCAGGAAATACCTGGAGGTCTAAGGTCAGCCCCCTTCTTCCACTTTCCCCATCTCTGTCTCCCCAAGACTTCAGGTGGCCTAGAGGCAGGGGACTCTTACTACTGTCTGGTGGGAAAAGGCCCTGCTTCATCCCTGAATAGTCCCGTGCTGAAGAAACACATGTATAAATATCTAGATGTCATATTTTTCTCTAATATATATAGATATATTAGTTTCTGCATGGGCGTGTGTAAATATACTCTCCAGCTTCCCTACTGTCTTGTACTCCCATCTACTGTACAGGATCTTCAAAGGGTGTGACCATCCCTTGGCAAACGCTGGCCAGCATGGGGACTCAGCTCCCACACACAGGAGAAAGGGGTGACACTGGTCTGGATGAGCCTGGGGTGGGGGTTGGGGGTCAGGAACTATAAAACTTAAAACAAGCTTCCACCCACAGCCCTAGCCTCAAAGAGCCTCCACTAGACCCTCATACAGTCCCTTGCACAGTGACACAGGCTAACAAACTCTAAGCAGTCCCTGATGATATACCACCCAGGGAATCTCATGCAGTAGCACATAATAGTCCCCAGACCCATCAACAATGCACAGCCCCAGATGGAATGTTTTGACATAGTTAGCTGTTGAGATTGACTTATCCAATTAATTTATTCATAGAGATGGTCACTGATTTGACTCCATTTGACCTGTTGTTTTGCTCTTGAGACAAGTATCTGGATAAGTCAATGGAGAGTTCTCATCTCTGGAAACATTTATGTAAGTGAAGCATTCATTGAGATAAAGTCTCCAGGTTCATATCAAACCACTGGACCCTACTTCCTCCAAATCCCTATGCTTTGGACACCTAGGCAGGCTTGGGTTTTCTGTGGAGCAGGGCTACCCAGACAGAAGAGGCTAGAACCTAGGGGGAGACACGGCCTTCAACAAAGAGAAGTCACCAACCTCCAGTGCCCTTATTCATCTCAGTGGCTGGATCTCTGCTATTACAAAATGAGGTGGGATCCCACCATAGAGAGGTGGAGGGGAGACACCCTGCCCACTGAAGACTTCAAGGTGAAGGCAGGATCAAGGCTATCAGACCTGACTTAAGCAAGAGAAGTTTAACTTGGGATGGTCAGATGGTCAGGGGAGGTGGTCTGGCAGAGAGGTCAAGAGGGAGAGAAAGGAGAAGCCTGCTCTAGGTGGGAATTAGGAAGATTAAAGTCTGTAGGGTGTGGGCCAGTGTGGAAGGCCAGAGAAAGGAGAGGGTAGGTGGGAACCAAACATTTCTTTTTGATGTCAAAATAAATTGCTTCAAAAAACAACATCATTCTGAGCCCCATTCAAGTCCCAGGACTAGTTTCCCCTGAGTAGATGAGCCAGAAAGGGAGAGAGAAAACCTAGCTCAGCCCAGTGTCCCCAGGCTGGTCAGAATTGAGATGGCAGTGAGGAGGGGCTCCATAGGTGGGGATGACTGGGATACAGAGGGGTGAAGGGCAGCATGGGTTTGATAAAGCCCCAGTGTGTGTGACTAGATGGCTGTTTTGGGACTCTGTGGTGTGTCAATTACTTATGTGCTGGAGTTCTCTGTGTTTGTCCTTATAAAATAAACCCAAAGTGGAGGATGGAAGGAACAACCTTCTTTCTTTCTTACATCCACATGCCTCTTTGCCTCAAGTCTGGCTCTTTTAGGAGAAAACAAGGTTGCTTGGGGTCTGCCTCACTAAGAAAACAGCATCAGTTCATTTCCACATGTAATGTCCTGTTGTAGATGGCATGTGTCCTGCAGTCTGTCTACATATACATATGCAGAAACACAGGGGTCCTTTCAGCGCAACCATGAAGAAATAGGAGGCTGGAAAATTATTCAAGGTGATGATAAGCAGTAATAGGTTATTCGATTTTAAAAGAAGCGGGCTTTTCCCTCTAAGAAACTGACCAATTGTTCCAAGTTTCTGTAAGGCTGAGGCTGGTGCCTAGATCCTTCTGTTCCTGAGACCAGCTCACTCTGACTTGTGAAGAAGAAGCCTGAACCATTTCCATCACGGTCTCAGTTTCTCTCGGTCTCAGTACTACAGGGACAGAGTGCACTAGTGGGTTGTAGTGGGGCCTCTTCGGATTCAGTAATTCCAGGCTGTGGAACGGCTGTCAGTTTGGGTGAGGACGGGTGGAAAGGGGTCTGTACAGCATTCCCTGGAGCAAGAAATTGAACAACCACCCGGTTTTCCTATAGTCTCTCTGTGGGTTTCTTCAAGGCAATGACTGGAACTGGCAATAGAGACTCAGGAATGAGGTGGCTGGAGGTGAGAGCTGAGGGTCTGTATAACCTGAGGCTTGTTTTACAGTGTTGTGGAAAAGGCGGTGGCTGGACAAGGGATCCAGGCCGGAAGGTGGGACAGCAGAGCCTGAGGCTAGAAGAGGGGGAGGTGGGCCAGGCAGCGGAGATAAACTCATTCCCATCTAGCAGCCGGAACAAAGGGGCCCTTTGAAGCACCGGCCCATTACTACAGCGTGGGTCCGGGAGGGCAGGGTCTCCCACCGCCCCTCTCGGCATTGCTCCCAGTGCAGAAAGTTCCTCATCCTCGGGAAATGACACCCAAATGTTTCACTCCCCTTTTCACCAGCTCCTTCCCTTCGGGTCCTGTGAGGCCTCTGGGCTTCAGTTCGCCGCCTGGTCCCAATCATCCTGCGCTCACTTCTCCTCTCATCGCTGAGAAGCCGCTTTCCTGTGCGCTGGGTCCGCGCAGGCCATCCGGGAGCGCTGCGCACAGAGCGTAGACATGTTCGTTTTCGTTCCTGTAGGGTTTCGTTTCTTGCATTAAAACGGGGCTAAAAAGAGCATCGCAGAGACTCGGTTCTCTAGAAAACGCGGCGCCGGAAGACCCGGGACGGCTCGGCTCGCAGTCCCGAGGCCCATTGAGACCGCAGGGCGCACGGCCGCCGGGGTGCGCGTTGCTCAGCCGGAGCGACGATGGATCGCGAAGCGAACAAGTCTCAGGCTTCGATAAGTCCTTCAGTGTCAATGGATTTCCTTCAAATATGCTGCCATACTTGGCTCCATTTCCGCATCCAGACACGATTCTCAAGAGAAAAATTCAACCATTTGTAAAACTCAACAACGTTCCCGCCGGGACTGAGGGCTCGGGCAGCGGCAGCAGTTTCCGAGAGGGTTTTACGGAGGATTTATCCGATCTCGCTTGACTGGGGATGCTCAGAGCCGGGGTGGATCTCTCGCAAGGTTCTTGGAGCCAGGTCGGGCTGGGCCAAAGGCGGGAAAGTCGTCCTGGTGGACTTAGGGCGTGGGACCCGAATCTGAGGGTACCATTCCGGAGGCCGCCTCCAGATGAGCCGAGCCACAGGAAGCCACAGGATTTAGGACCCGACCGGCCCTCTCCTCCGAACCCCAGTCCCCCATTTCCCTCCGGCCCCTCTGCAGCCCCAGCCCCGGGAAGACTCACAAACCGCGGTGACTCCACCTTGGCCCTCAGATGCCAGGTCTCCAGACCTAGGCCGAGGACTGAGTCCTCGAAGGACCGGAGTGGTTTGCTCAGTTTTGAATAAAGCCCCAATTTCATCAACAAAACATTTTAATTGACAGAAACTCTTGCCCAAATCTTAGTTAATTTTTCGGGCGAATCTTTGAAATCTTAAAGGGATATGAAAGTGCGACCACAAAAATTCTTGTAGAAGTCACTACGTTCCTTGATTTTGTACATTTCTCTGGGGGAGTCTATATTGCCCAAAGGGGACTGAAAAAATTGTCAGATAAATTGGATCCAGGGAAAGCGGCTTTATGTAAACCAGTCAAGCAGCTATAGCCAAAGCTTCAAAAGATCATTTTCCTCCTATTATGGCAGTAACATCCAATTTTCTTTTACTGTGTAGATCTAACAACCATCAGATTAGCCAGGAGCCAAAGCCCCAACCACATTCTTTTTATTTTACTAAAAGCAAGGTTACTCAGCTCTGAACAGCGAACCTCACAAGGCTGAACTCTCTTCTACACAAACAAAATATAACCGAAAACCAAAGCAATTAATGCACAAATTAAGTCCAACTTCTTTTTTAAAAAAATAAAGAAAAGAAGAAAAACTCCAACAAATTTGGGGGAGAAAACGAACTCCAACAAATCCAACTCTCTTTCCTTCGGAAAAGTCAGATAATTGAAACCAGTGGTGTGTGTGAGAGAGAGAGAGAGGGAGAGAGAGAGTGTGTGTGTGTGTGTAAGTGTAAAGCCAGTGGGAGATCTTCATTAGCAAGCCGATTGCCCCGTACAGAAAACGGGACCCGGACTGGCTATGACCTTAAAAGCCCTCTGCTCCCGCCCCCTGACTGGGAAGACTGTCCTTCAGTAGCGGGGTGAACTCCCGGAGAGGGTGAGCCGCGCAGGAAGCCAGTTTGCTACTGCAAACCTTCTCCACCCTGAGTCCGAGAGGAACGTGTAACTTGAAGTCGGGCCAAGGATGCCAAGAAACATCCTAAGACAGCGAACACTCTGCACGCAACACGAACTCTCTGGTTCGCCCTCTGTGCTGCCCCCGCTTTCTACAGACCCCGGGCACGCGGTGGACTTCTTCCCTGCCCAGACGCGCCACCGAGGGCGGATCCCCGGGAATTTGCGATGGACATGAGAGCGAAATATGGTCCTGGTCCAGTCGGGGCGAAGGGAGGGCGACAGGCACTTCGCTTTCTGGGCTAGGACGGGCTCAGCCGAGATAGAGAACAAGGCAGGCCGCAGAGAGGGCCGGGGGAGGCTCCAAGGATGCCCCTGGGCTTGGCGTCCAGACGGACATCGTTCCTGGGAAAGCCCGGAGTCCCAGCCCGACTGTCCGGGAGGGATAGCAATGCGGCAGAGACGCGGGTGGATCCAGCGCGGCTCTTCCCGGCTTAGCAATCAACCTCCGCGGATCCGCAGCCTTCTCGGCAACAACTTCTGAACAGCCCCACGCGCCCCCGAGCCTCCCCCGCGCCGCCGCAGCGCGGGCGCCGGTCGACCGCCTCGGCCGGCAAAGCGCGGGCACTCACCCTGGAAGCGGTGGCCGAAGAAGCGGTTCCGCAGGACCCAGGGGTAGAAGTGAAGCGGGTCCCGGTGCTGGGCGCCGAAGAAGGAGTGCGGGGGCTGCAGCGGGGAGGCACCTAGCTGGTGTGCCGGGTGCACGGTCAGCGCGGGGTGGTTCATGGCCTCGGGGAATACGAGCTCTGGCCCACCATAGAGAGAACGGCCGGCGCCTGCGGCGGCGGCGGCGGCTGCCGCCGCGGGGAAGCCGCTAACGAAGGCGGCCTCGGCCGCGCCAGGGTGAGGGTAGTTGAGTGCCGTGGGCCGGAGCGGTTCCTCCGAGGCGGGCGCCGCCAGGGGATGGGAGCTCGCACCACCGCCGCTGCCCCCACCGGCGCCGCCGTCCTTGGCCACCAAAGACTCGATGGTAAAGCCGCGCTTGGTCGCGGGCTGGAACATGGTCGCGGCCGCCGGAGCCGAGCGAGGCAGCCCGGCTCTGGGGAGAGCTCCGCGTCCAGGCGCCGCCGCCGTGCGGGGTGTGCACCCAGCCAGGCACATGCACACACACCCGCACCCCTCACCTCCCCCGCCCGCCCGCCCGCGCTAGGCCCCCTCCGGCGAGCCAAGCGCGGAGCGGCTAGGGGCGTGTGAGCCAGCGAGCCTGGAGTCCGGCCACAGCGCGCAGCCAGAAGCTCAGGCCCCTGCGGCCGCGCGGGTAGCTCCTGACGCGGGCACTGGTGCGGGCTCTGTGAGCGGCTGAGATCTGCCTGTGCGGCCCAAGGGCTGATCCCGGTTCCCGCCCTCCCGAACCCCGCCAGGACCGACCCCCGCCCCGGGTCCTCCCAGAACTGCCCTTCCCGGACTCCGCAGCAGTGCTGAGAGGCGCGTGTTAGCAGGCACCTGCCCCGCGCGCGCCCATTGGCCACAGCTCACCTGCCCCAAGGTGGGGGGCGGGGTGGGGCGGGGCGAGGGGCGGTGGGGGGTGTGGGGGGAAGGAGCCCGGAGTCGCAGGCAAAAGCCGGACTGGAGCTTTTGCCCGGTGATCTAGGACCCCTCCCTCCTCGCCACTGGCTTATTCCCTTGTCTCCGACCTGACCCGGAGTCTGGCCAAAGTCGTCGGGACCAGAGCGGGAGCTGGGGAGGCATCCGCGGGGCCTGCGATTCAGAGAGACTCCCCAGACTCCTCTTCCCTGTGTTTAACTCAATTGAAGCCTATCCCACTCGTCCTCGGACATTTCAGTTCTTAGACTGCCTGGATGCCACCAGAGTGGGTGTTTGGGGCCTGACAAATAGGTTCTCTGGAGAACCAGCCCCCAGCTCCTCCCGCCTTTGCAACCCATCCACCTCCCGCCTCTTGGGCAGCGGTCGGAAACCGAGGCCTTGTTCATGAGGTTTCACGTTTTTGGGATGTCATAAGGAACACAGCCCAGGAAATGGGACTCTCAATTCTTCTCACACGGGGCCAAGTCTGGTTCTGCGCGGGATGCCACTCCTCCAACTTCTGGCCTCAAGCCGCAGTCCGCGGGCTTCGCGGAAGCTGCCCCTTTTGAACGAAGGCTCAAGGGCCGCTCAGACCGTAACGGCGGGTCTCAGCCCAGGGCGACCAGGTTTCCTCCCTTCTCGGGCTTTGGAATCAATTTTCTACAGGCCAGGCCTCGGGGACGCTGTCCTTTAAATTGGAGCTGGCAGCGCAGCCCGAGCCCTTCCCCGAGAGAACTCGCCGGCGGTCCCGGGGGACGCAGCGGCCGTCCGGCCTCCCAGACCTTCACCCTCCAACCGCGTCCGCGGAGCAGCAAGCAACTCTGCTGCGGCCAGTTTCCATTTTGTGTGCTAAATCCCCGGGGGCTGAGAGGGCTATTGGTGATAAGAACCAGAACTCTGCCAACTTTTCCACCCCTGGCCTTGGCAGGCCGCGTGAAAACGCCGCGCTGAGGCCTCGCCGCGCGTTGTTGGTGGTGGGGAAGTCGGGTCTGGACCCCGCGAGTCCACCGCAGGGAGGAGACGGCAGCGCACTCCTCTCCTCGCCTCCGCCGGTGTCAGTCTGAGCGGGCTGAGCCGGGATCTAGCTCCCCGAGGCCAGGGGTCCCTGCGCCGCGCGGCTCTGCGGGGACTCCAGGCCGGGTCTTTGGAGTGGCCCGCCTGAGCGCCCGGAGCCTTGCTCCGGGAGAACGCTCCGGGCGCCTGGCCGCTTCAAAGCTGGTTAAAGTCTATTTTCCACTCGACTGGGCTGAAAAGCCCCCGCGCGCCTCGGTGCCAGCCCCTTTGGGCGAGGGCGCGCGGGGGGGGGGGCACCAGGAAGGGAGGTGAGGCAATCACACCCTGCAGCCCTTCAGGTCCCGAGCAGCCCCGGTCGGGCACCGCGGAGACGCCCCCAGAAACCTGTGCAGAGAGAATTGTTTCCGAATTCCTGGCGGAAGCCTGTGTCTCTTTCGCTGGCCTCTCCCGAGTTTCTGCTTTTCTGTGTTGGTGGGTTTCTCCCTCCCTCCCCGCGTCTCAGAATGTCTCGGTCTCCTGCCTTCCAGGCCTCCTTGCTCTCCACCCTCGAGGTTTCCCTCTCATTTTTCTCCCCCGCACTCATCCTTTGCTGGGTCTTCAGTCCTGGAAAAGGAGAAGCGCCACGGAGTAGGAACAAGTACCTGGCGAGGCCATATCCCGAAGGGAGGGATTGAAGAAATGGTCAGAGGCAAAGAAGGAGATGGCAAAAAATGGAAGGAGATGGCAGGGAATTTTATTAGAACTAGAGTCTCACAGGGACTGGGGTTCCGTTGGATAAACATTGACCGGACCTGTGCTCCGCGGCGAAAGACCGCGTGCTGGGACTGCGACGGAGAGGTTAGAAGCCGCAGCAAGTTGAACCCGGCCCCAGGGCGGTGCGCTGCTAGTGGGGAGATGAACCCCACCTGCCAGCGAAGGCCAGGGCTCCTCCCCACAGCGCGAGGCTGGGCGAACTCGCTAAACTGGGCGTATAGAGGCCCGACCATTCCTAACCTTGCCACTAGCCACGTTGACTTTCACTCGTATGGTTCTGGGTGTACCTGTTGACATCTAAATTTTTATTTATAATAACACCACCTATCCTTGATGTGGTGCTTTTGAAATACTCCAGCATTCAACTCTCTGTCATTAATCCCATTTTACAAATGAAGAAACAGACCGCAGAGGATCAGTGGCTTGAGGCTGGTCAAAGATCCGACAAGGTCTTTAATAGAGTTTAATAGCCCTGGCCTGGCTCAGGTTCCACCCCTAACGCATCCCATCCTATCCCATCCCACCCAAGCGGCTGCAGCCACTACAGCGGACACTTCCCAGACAGAGCATAGCCTGGAATGGGGATGGGGTGCTGGGATTCGCAGGATGAGGGAACTTCCTACCCCTTCTACCTTTCTCCTGCCTTGACTTTCCCTCTTGGCCCTTTCTCTCAATCTCCTCTCCAGTATTCCCTAATCTTCCTTCTCTCCCTCTGCCTATATTCATTTATTCCCAGCGCTTTCCTCCACTTCCGCTTTTCTTAGGACCTCTTCCTCTCTTCTCCGTTTCCCACAAAAGGGTTAATTGAAGTTGGCACCCTCAAGGGTCTCTAAGCCCGCTACTGTGCTTTAGATCCAACATTAATATACCCCTCTCCCCAATCTCTTCCTGTGCTCTCTCTGTCCCTCCCAAACTCACACATCTCCCTCTACCCCACCCCCAGTTTAGCTTGTGCACAAATATCTGCTCTCCACACCATGTCTGGGTCTGTCAGCCTGCCACCTTCCCCAAATATTTCGCCTCTCTGCCCCACCTTCTGTTCCCAACCATCCCTTTCCATTCCTTTCCTCCAGCCCAGGCTGCAGAGCTGTGCCAGAGACCAGCGGCTGAGGTGCCTCCCAATGACTGGAGCACCCTACCATCCTGCACACCTCTGCTCTCTGAACCCCCCCCCCAAGATTTCCCATCTCCTACAGTCCAGCCCCTCACTTTCTGCAGAGGATCCTGATTCCTAAAAGGACCTGGGCTGCCCTTCCCAGTTCTTCTACATCATTTCCCCTCCCACATCCATTCCTAGATAATGGGAACTCAAATCCTGGCTCTTCCATTTACTGGTGATGAAACCTGGGACAAATTACCTTGCCCTCACTTGCATATCTGTGAAATGGCAAGCATTACACTGGAAACCCCAGAAGGATGAAATGAGATAGCATATGTGGTTCAGAGGACAAATGCCTGGCTCCTAAGAGGCTCTTTCCTTCTTCCCAGTCTGTCTTAGTCTGGAAGCTCCACTGAAACCTGTCCACCATGGGTGACCCTGCTGGTATTTGAAATACTGATGGCCTAGCCTCCAGCCCGACAGCAAGAAACAAGGCATCATAGTATGACAAACTGACAGAAAAATTGTGAAAGAGGCACTCAGGAAATGTTACTGCCTTTGCCTTTGCCCATGCGCTAAATTTGGGATTTGTTAGCAACTCCTCACTCTCCTTTATCTTCCATATCCAGCCAGTCACTCAGTCTTGCAGTTAAGTATTTCTCAAGTCTATATCCTCTTCCTTTTTGTTTCTTTGCTGGACTACCTTTATCCTTCACAACTCAGTTCAGTGCACTAATTCCTGAGTTAGTAAGGAGAACCTGCTCCCCCACAATACTCTGCCATAGCACTCACTTGCTGTGTGCCGTTCTCCATGTCCTTGTCCTCATTCTGTCCCCTTTACCAGGCCAAGGCCCCCTGGGAGAGTTGGGAAGCTGTAGAGTCCATCACAACTCCTAGCCCAGGCCCAGGCACTGTAAGTCCAACAGAATCCCTGCTCTTGTGGGGAGCTTAGTTTAAGAACCACCTTTGGGCCATCACCCTTTCATTTCTCCTTTTCCCCTAGGCCTTCATGTTTCCCTAGCCTACAAAAATGTTTCATGCTCTCAAGTCTCCCTCAGTGTGTTGGCTTTCCTTTTCTTCTTCACCAAAAAAAATCTGTTGAATATTTTTTACTCTCTTTCCAACAATCTTGCAACCTAGCTCCCCTACCCTCACCACATTAGGATAAAGGCTTGCAAAAGTTCAAAAATTTTTATTATGGTGGTATTATTGCAAGAGCAATATGTGCATAAATGAGGATATTAATAAGCACATTTATTGTGAGATTGAATTAATTATAATCCCCACTTAGTGGGCTTAGAGCAGTGCCTGACACATAGTAAGCATTTGATAAACATTAGCTGCTATTATTTTATAGATCTGTGCTGTCCAATAAGGAAGCCAGGACCACATGTGGCTATTTAATGCTTAAAATTTGGCTGGTCTGAATTGAGATGTTCCATAAGTTAAAATACACACCAGATTTGAAAGACTTATTTGTTTTTTTTAAAAAGGTAAAATGTATCAGTAATTTTCTATATTGATTATATGTGTAATGATAATATTTTTTATATGGTGGATTAAATAAAATAGGTTATTAAGATTATTTAACTTGTTTCTTTTTACCTTTTTAATGTGATTATTAGAAAATTTTAAATTGCATGTACGTCTGTTGGCCAGAGTTGTCCAGAAAATACAGATAATCCAGACAACACAAATAATTCAAAAGAGAGAGGAGTGTATGGGGAAGAACAGATCTTGTCATTATCAAATTCAATTCTCCAAATCAACCACTGGTATTCTTGCAGTATATCCTTCCAATTATTTCTTTGTATATCTCACTTTTCAAAAAGGATAGGTGGCTAGGTGAAAGAGAGTATACCCATGACCATGCATAGGTTTGGCAGATGATATTCCTATTTTATGTGTTATAAAAATGTCTATATACAGTATAAAGCTAATGGGGTCAAAGTTAGGATAATTGTTTAGCCACAACTAAATATCTTGAGGGAGTGAGTTGTTGGGCCTGTGGGCTGGGGGCCATGGTTCCAGGGGACATCAAGCTCACCTGGAATAATACAGTACACAAAAATATGTTTACTTCAGTGA